CCGACCCCACTCCATATATCGCTTTTACACTACGTTGATCAATTCACTCTTTCACACATCATTTCACACAGTTATTATGCAAAGTCTCATCAATTACAGAATAACTTATCTCATTCATACACATTTACTATATCGGTAGCAAATTTGTGGTTCAGTATTCTTGCTATAGCTTACTTTGATCATATGGACCAGGAGCCGGGATTCAAAAACCAAAATACCTTCCGATTAGTGACGACCCACTTGCCTTGAGTCCACAGCGCTTCCCTATTAGAATTATAGAATGTATTGGTGTGTTGTGATTATTTGTAGGATTTAAACTGTGGTCATAAGAGTTTGTGTAAATTATAATTCACTAAACTTAAGTCATGGGTTTTCTTCGTATACGATCCTTCCTATGATATTGTCTATTTCTAAATAAATGAAAAAGGCTCCTGTATATCGAGTGATCACCTTTGAATTTGAAAAGTGACATGTTTCAACACAGCTGAAATTTAATGGAATATACTATCTGACATCTGCAAATTCTTTGAGAAGTTAACTTGCAAAAAATACTTAAAAGTCTTAATTGTACACTGTGTATCTATTATATTAATAATATTATGATTATTAATGGGATTATATATCTTTATCCTTGCTTTTTCACAAGCAGAAAAGTAAACCTTGGACTTGCTGGGGATTAAAATGTTAATTGAACTTAGCAAGTATGTGTTGCGTGCTGAACTCAGATCATCTGTGTTGGTTTTTTCTAACCATTACACGACTTGCAGTGGGCCTAGCTGACTGGGCAGAGAATCAGCCTGTGAGGCAGGATGTTTAATGTGTGTGGCTCAGGTGTTAACGTTATGTCAGTCTTTATTCCCAGGCTGTGGATCTAGAAAGGCGCTATACAAGTACGCGTCCATTTACCATTTATCAGTGTTTGCCAGAGCTGAATCTGAAAGCACAGGCTGAAGAAAAGTAAATCAGTACTCTAACCGAACAGCATACATCATTGACAATCTGTCAACTTTGTGGTTAGTTTTGAAAAGAATGCATTTGCATATGATCTTTATTTACAGGGGTAAGTCATTAAGAACAAATTCCATTTCACACTGAGCCGTAATTATAACTCTTTGTTTTCCCTTCCTTCCTGCTGTGATCAGCCGAGATTTATAGTTGCCATGGTGAAATAATAAGACAAACCAGCAAATCCCACTGGTTTATCTCACAGCTGTTGCCGTAGTTTTTGACCTTGAGGGCTTCCATCAATGGAACTAAAAACACTCAGCCCTGTGTTTTTTGTAAGCAGGCAGGGACTAGCTAAATAACAATGTGGGGGAGCATTGGCTAAAACAGTTCTGAGCAGGCAGTAATGTAGAGAAACATGCCAATGTTGTTATTTGGTGGAATGGATGGCTTAATTAAATAAATAGGTTCTGCTCTGTTGCGTTAATGATGGTCCAAGTTCTTTTAGATTTATGTTTGCTAGTCAATCTAAATGTCATAATTCATTACTGTTGTCCTGTACATCATACACCTCATAACTTTCCCTCCAATGAATGTGAAACAATCAAATGTTAAAAAAAATTATAGTTTATAATTTTTCTTTTTCAGTTCTCTTAAAATGTGCTGCGACATCAGTTGTGATGTGTCGCTTGTGGTTTGCAGGTGCTGGTACCTAAGAGGGCTGAGTTCAAAGGGAAGATGATTGAGGTGGACATCTATGAGGCAGGAAAACACTTCCTGAAAGGCCGACCAGTAGAAGACAGCAAGCCCTTCACTCCCTCCCTCGCTGTGCCCCTTCAGAAGGGAGAGGTGTCTGGCCTGATGCAGGTAAAGGCATACACATACAAATACATACATTCATACAGATCATTTTTTTCCACAGCACTGTAAATCAAAGTGACATCAAAGCAAATGCACAGCGATACAAATAGATGCATGTATGTAAACATAGTCATTGCTGAACCATAAAAAGAATAGATTACGACAAGTAATATTAATTATAGTAAACTGTAGCATACACCTTAAAATAGAGTTTGTTCGGTGGCTAACATTAAGCAAAAAGAATTACACAACATACAGAAATGAAATACATTAAACATGACCTGGATATAAACTTAATGTCAGGAATACATACTTGTACATAAGGACATAAAGTAAAGTATATGAAATGGAGACTAGAAAGGAAAGGGATCCTGAGTAAGGTACACAAGTTAAAAACACTTACACATACAGAATCCTTATTTACACTACCATACATTTATTCAGTAGAGATGAGTGTTTATCCTTCTCAGAAAATTCAATAGGTATCTGGCTACATGGTCTATGATCCAATACAAAGACGATAGATACTTTTTTTTTTAAAAACGCATTGTGGTTTAAAGTTCATTCGATTCAGTTTGATTCAACTGGAAATGAACAATTCTCTACACATTACATTTTTACATGAAAGAAATATAGTAAACATTGTATACATTTTGTGTTTTAAAAAAGAAATATACATTTTGATTTGAATTGTTATTGGTATTAAAGTATTGTAAAACCAACAAGAGTTAGGATGGGCAGCGATATACATCGCAATATTGGCCTGTCCCCAAGGAAGATTAATTGGGAATCTGTTACCTTGGTTCCAAAATGGGTGTCAAATATTTGAAAAGGGTATTTTCAGCAACAATATGGGCGCATATTGTTGTGAATAAAACAGCGTATGACTTCAGGTATTGTCTTAAGGCTTTAGAGGCCAGGGTGCTTTAGAAGTAGTGTTAGCTGCTAAAGCTAGCATTTTTCACCTGTGGTTGGTTGTTATTTTCTGTAACTTAAAAATTCAGTGTGTAACATTCAGGAGGATCTATTTTCAGAAATATATTATATTATTATTCATAGGTATGTTTTAATTCGTGTAGAATTACCTGAAAATAAGAATTGTAAAATTTTTGTGATCTTAGCTATTTTTATCTAAAGATGCCTACAGTAGAAACCAAACACTGTCTCTAGGTAGGGCCTTTTGTGTTTTTCCCATGTTTCGCTGCCACCTTAGTTTCTTTTTCACACTTCACAGACCATTCTCTTTCCATATACCGTCATCATTGTCATATACAGACACCAGCTGTGTTCAGTTGGTTGCAATCTGAAGCTTCACCGCTAGATACCACTAAATTCTACACACTGCTCCTTTAATATTTCTGCTACTGTCGGCTCCAAAAATGTCGCCGTGAAGCCTATAGAAGCTACAGCTAGTCAGAGTGAAAAATAAATCATGCACAGCCTGAAACAGGATACATTGACTATTGGGTGTGTGTAGTGGTGTGGGTGTAGTGCTGGGTGTGGTGGTGGACAGGAACGGACAGTTTAGCCACCACGCCACAGCTATAGTCTTAAATTACTGATATACACGGCCTGGGTAACACTGGTAGCATTTTCTACAAACTGCCAAAAGCGAGGCATAGGATTAAAAATGTAGACACTAACACTGACACACACACACACAACACACACACAAATTCAAATTGGATTGAGTCAGGGTGAGGGCATGACACTGACTCATAAG